ACCTACTCTCCATTCTCTTTTCAAATAGAAAGAAGGGCTTGAGGGACATCCCAGCTTTGAGAAGAATATTTTATTTATAAGATTTTTCTCAAGTGATAATTAAATTAACAGTGGTAATTAGGTTAGCAGCTGAAAGCAATGTAACTATGATGACTCAAGTTTTCTTTCTGTCCACTCTTTCTACATGAGCAAATGTCCGATAAATTTACAGCAGAACAGTCAAACTAGTTGTGGTTCTGGCAGATTTCTCCGCTCGTAATTTGGTGAACCTATTTGTAGCAGACCTTACAAATTCAGTTTTGTGCATGTGTCTGCAGTGCTGTGAATCCTCACATAGTTGTGAGAGGCGAAGTCACTTGGACAAAACACTGTTACAGGTTTGCTCACTCACCTGAATACAGCCACACCAAAACTCAAAACACCCACAAATCATTACGAGGCCCTAGCTACTTAGTCCTTTCTTTTCTCTTCCACCCACCCCACCAAGCTCCCTGCCCCTCTAACCTTACATAAATTAGTTTAACATAAGCAAGGTATACACACTATCGAGGTCAGTGGAGTTTCCCCATCATTTCAGTGAACCCAAATACTGCACCAGAACACAAAGTTCTCTGGACCCGATTTTTCCACAGATTCTTGTACAGACACCTGTATTTGTACACAGGCACAGAATTCTCCAAGTCAGAATAACATCCATTTATATCTACCCTGCACAATGGAAATAGCTACGTCAGGAACCAAGGCTGTGAAAAATCAAGCACCCCCAGCCAGCTGATTCAAAAACATGAGATGAACAGCCCCAGCACCTATCAGATCTCAGTCCCTTTCCTTGAACACCAAAACCACCACCAGCTGGATATAATCTGCCCCCCTGAGCTATGCTGGGGACCAAACTGAAGCTGCTGACCTTAAAATCTCAAAAAAAGAGTCCCTGAGCTCAGGGTACCAACTCAGCTGTGTTCAGGCACACTCTTGTCCCAGCCCAGCTTTCAGGGACCCCAGGCTGCAAGGACAGCCAGGTGCCATTCTCTGCCTGCCCCTCCCAGGGTCTGCCCTTCCCTGGCAGACAGATGGCCTGGCCAAACTTTGGAGGGAGCTGGTGAGAGACTCCCATGGATTTCAGCGGGAGCTGGACGAAAGCCAAGGTGAATTTCCTCTGCAACAACACCGTTCCCTGCCACCGAGCTTCCCAGGCACAGCTTATCACCATGGTTTCTAAAGTACTGCTGGTACCAGAAAGTGAACACCCTCCAAAATTACTGTCTTCCTGTAACATGAGCTTCATCACATCTTCTCCTTTGTTTATCTCCTCCATTCTTCACCCTCACATCAGGTTTTGTCTCTCCAAATAAAGCCACGTGTTGGCCGATGGACGCTGGTACTGCTGGCAGGAGAAGGGAGGAGAGCAAGGCAGACTTCCCTGATCTCTTAGATGTCAGTGCATAATAAAAACATCACGTATGGCCACCCTCAGTACTAGAGCCCCATGCACCTTTCCATGAATATATCACAGGGGAACAGAGTTTTGATCAAGAGACCAAGCTCCTCAAGATGAAGTTACTTCATTGCCTGATCCAGGCTTGGAAACTTGCCTTTTCCAAACCTCCTGGGGCTTGGCTCAAAGCTCACCTGGAGAGGCACGGACAGATCCCAGCTGCAGGGGACTAAATTACCCCACTAGCCCCGGAGGAAGCAGCAAAGAGAAGACATCTCATGTCAGCCCAAAGAAAGGTGTGCTGTGAGCTAGTTCACAATTAACCTCTGTAGCTCACTCCTCTACACGGTTGTACAGCTTTCTGCAATAACTTCTAACACTCAGGGGCCTGGTTGTCATTTTGATACGATTCATAAAACAGAAGTAAACCACAATTTTAATGCTAGAGGGCATTTAAATCAGGTGAATTTTAATCCAACAGATAATATAAATATCAGCTTCAGCAGTGAAGATATTTACAGGTCTAATCCAAACTGGACACTTGTCACACACCTCATAACAGAAATTATTTGTAATGGATAGATAAGGAAATACAAAGATAGTAAAGAAATGAAAATAATAAAAGAATTTAGGCACAGATGAAATAGCTATCCAACACCTTTTTAAATCAGCTAATACCAAAACCTCAAGCATCCTTTTAACTGTAAATTTAACTTGGAGTGCTTAAACTGAGGTCATACTGAGCCAGACCACAGCTATTAGATGAGCAGGTACAGCCCACCAACATCAGAGACACTTCCTTGATTGTGTCAGCCCTTGGCTTGCAACAGCAAGAGACAAAGCAAGAGGTATTTTCAGACACAGATTTCTACAGCTGGAAATGTGTTACATTGTGGTTTTCAAATAGCTGAAGTTTAAACTCTGAGAGTATTGAGGTAACAGCAGCTATCAGATATGCTGGGTAGAAGAAGGAAGTGATTTGGGAAAAGATTAATTCCCTTTAAAGTAGACATTTGTCCAGTGAGATTCCTAACAGTGGCTTGACCAAAATACACTGGTTTTCAGTCAGCAGCAACTTTCACATTGACTTTTATGGACACTGGAGCAGATATTTTTTTCCAGTGACTTTTTTTACAACGTTGTTTTCATGTCCCCTGTATTACAGGCATTAGGTTTTTTTAAAAACATGTAAATTGCAAAACTTGACACTACCTTGCTGCCTAGTGAGTTGAACTAAACCAAGAGTTTAAATAGCTCAGCTCACAGCTAATAAGCAATTTAAATAGCTTTGCTTTGCTAAGCTCAAGTAGCTGTATCAGGTTTCATAGCACGATCAGTCACTGCCAAATCCATAGGCAGCATTTAAATGAATCATTAGCAATGGTCACCCCCAGGAAAAAGAAAAAAGGAAAGTAGAAGAAAAAATATTTTAAGAGCTAAGAATCAAGTCATTGTCACAATTTCTATGAGTACATGCCCCATATGCGACGCCAAAATGTGCCCAGGAAGCAAATCCCACTCAAATGCCTGGGCCAAAATACATTCATCCAAGTAAGAATGACTGAGCTCTGCGTTCTGACCACAACCTGCTTCACAAAGACACTCGAGTGCAGAGGTGCCCATTTCACAGAAGGACAAGCTCAAGCATGCAGAGGTGAAGGATTTGCAGCACAGATGGAACCCAAAGAAAACTGGGAGGCTGCTCCTCTGTCATGTGTGCTAAGCCACAGCTGCAGTAATGCCATCACAAACATACTTCCAAGTTCTCCGGATCAGAAAGGTGAATGGCAAGATAATCATGTGAGACACAGGGAAAATGCATATTCACCAAACACCTTGTCTGAACTCTGTAGAGAGTGCAAGAGAAGGTACAACCCACACTGAAACACGGGGAATGAATGACACTGGGATCTTGAACTCACGTGCGCCAGTGTAAGACTGAAATGACTGAGACACACATTAAATCAGGGTATTGAACTAGGCTAGTGAACTTGCCTGCTCCCTGTACAAGCCTGCAGGATCTGACACTGCATGGAGCAGCACAGACAGGAGCACAACCAGAGCTCTCAAAAGCCTTTGGAACCAAAGTCCTTCGCAGCTTGAGCAGCTCGGGAGGCAGAGCAGGACCACGCCAAGCCCAGAACCCCAACTGGCTGACAAAGGGTGCAGGAGCACGGTGACCTTCCACTCACTTCCCTCCAAGCCACAGCTAAACTGATCCACCACAGGAGCACGGTGACCTTCCACTCACTTCCCTCCAAGCCACTAAACTGTATGGAAATGGTTAAAATGCCAGCAACTAACACATCTGCCTTTAGAGACACCCAGGGAGACTGACAGAGGCAAGTTTCCATGGATGGATGTTTCTGATCATCCTGGACTCTGCAGGGCAGTGCTGCTCCAAACAGGTTTCAATACTTCTTTCTCCAACCCCAAGGAGAGTTTCTCTTTTATTTTCCAGTGAAAGTTTGCATAATTAAGAAGCACATGAGACCCTGTAATCCTGAAGAGAAACGTGGGGAGATACTCACTTAGATCCTATTTCTCCCTCTCCACCTGTACTTCTATTCAGTACTCCTGGGTATCAAATTCGGACACGTGCACGTCATTTTAATTCATTATTTATCCATATAGCCTCAAATTATATCACTTCGTCAACAATTAACAAATCTATAGCAGGAATTTGGACATTTGAAAGCAGCAGAGGAAGCTCAGAAACTGAAGAACGATTCCTTGCCACATGGGGGTGAGGAGAGGCAAGGAAAAGGTGTAAGAGAACATAATAGGATAAAAATAAAGTAAATTAAATGTGTGGGTTTGGAATCCCCCAAGACATTCTGGTCGAGAGGATCTCAAACCTATATATAGTTCAAGCCAAAGGCACAACCTTAACCTCTGCTCCCTGATATTTAGTTCACAAATTGCCCTAATGCCAGCATTTGGCTTTTGTCCCCTCATATAAGTTAGAGGATAGCAAAAATGCAGGACTAATTTTTGGAAAGACTAAGCTGAATTCTCCAAGAGGCCACCACAAGTGGTCAGAGACTTCTGGCACGTTAAAAAAAAATTAAAAAGGAAAAATATCTACACAAATTAGGGACCACCTGGCACAATTCAGGCAAGTTTAACGTGTGCCTCCAGCAGCCAGAGCTCTCGCAGAAGCATCTGACAATGAACTCGCTGCACATCCCGCAGCTGACCGGCCAGGGACCGGAGCCCCGGCCCCGCTCCGCGACATCCCGAGCTCCTCCCCGCTCCTTCCAGCGGGGATTTCGCCGCCGGTGCTCTTCCTCCGCGGCGTGCCCGCTCCGCCGGCGGCTCGGGCGGGAGCTCGCTGCCGAGCGGGCGGCAGTGATTAATTACGTTACAGAACGCCGCTCAGGGCAGCGCTCACGGGGCGCTCTCCCCGCTCCGCACCTGCGGCGGGGCCGGGGCGGGGGGCGGCGCCCACGCGCGGCTCGGGACGCGGAGCCCACGCGGGGCCGGGGCCCGGCGGGCTCACCCCATGTCTCGGTGGGCTCACCCCATGTCTCGGTGGGCTCACCCCATGTCTCGGCACACTCACCCCATGTCTCGGCACCTCTCGGCGGCGGCGGCACCCCCGGGCGGCTCCCCGCGCTCGGCGGCCAGCGGCGGCCGCGTCCCCACTTCGCACATGCGGCCGCCCCGGCCCGGCTGGCTGCGGCTGCACGGCGGCTGCACGGCGGCGAGAGCCGTCCTGCTCCTCCTCCCGCCGCCTCCCTCCCCCCTTACATAACCTCCCTCCCGGGCGGCGGCGGCACCGAGCAGCTCCCGCGGCACCGCCGCCCTGCCAGGCGGCAGCGCGGGGGCGCGGGCGGGGCGGGGCGGTGGGCGCGCCCCGGGCCCCTCCGCTCCCCGCCCCGGGCCCGGCCGCCGGCGGTGGGCGGGATGTGCCCAGCGCCGGGAGGATCTGAGGTGGGGGATCTCGTCCTCACGGTGCCCTCGCCGCGGGGCGGCGACCCGCCGAACGGGGACGAGGCGGCAAGAAAACTTCGGGTGAAGTTGTGGGGTGTCCCCATGCGGCCCCGCCCGCGGCCGGGGAGCCTCAGCGGAGAGAGGGGTGAGCCTTCCCCGGGGACCGGCTGTCCGGGACCGGCTGTCCCGCACCGGGATCCCCCGCCGGCAGCCCCGGCTCCGCGGCGCGGTCCCGTCCCGGGATGCGCTTCCGACTGGAGGCGATGCCGCGCCGGGGGATGCCCGGTGACACACGAGCGGGCGATGCTCTCCCTCTGTCACCGCGTTCCCCGGGCTGTGAGTGCGGAGCCTGCGAGCCACGGGGCCGGGGCACCTGTTCGGCCGCTGGCCCCGGCAGCCCCAGCCCCGCAGTGCCCAGGCAGCACCGCCTGCTCTGCCCAGAAAGGTGAATCCCGTCGCCAGGACTGAGTCTCCTTTGGCTCTTCTCAGCCTCGCTGCGAGTCTGTGCCACATAGGGTGCCAGAATTATGTAGGTTTCGTGAAAATAAAGAGGGACGATTCCTAACCAGGGAAGGAAAAAATGGACTAGTGTGAAAGAGCCGTGTAATGGCTACCCAAGCACGAGGGTGACACTGGCATCTGACCGGCAATCACAGGACACAAATCCATAGCAGAGCCGTGGACCTGCTCGTTCGGGTGTTCACAGGACTGTGTACACAGACGCACTTACTCTTTCATGGAGATAATACGCCCAATTCACACATAAGACAGGCTTTTAACTTCACCCACACAGAGTTATAATTAATACTCTGCCATCAAGAGTGATTATTTTCATCTCTTTTTTTAAAAATCTCACATTGATTTATCCTTTCTTTCCAAGGAAGTTTAGAAGTTGTGGGAAAGGTTTTATGTTTGTTTGTTTTTACTTTGTGTCTAATAACTGGGGGTGTCCCCAGTATTACCTTGGGACATCATGGGAATCCTGAAAGAAAAACTTAGCCAGCAACCAAATACCTTCCAGCTACGGACAGTAGAACCCCTTTCCTGACAGACAACTATTTCCTGACACCAAAATAGAATTTCAATCCCATACACTCAAAGTCCATGTCATTGGTGGGGGAAAGGAGCAGGGTGAACGACACAGACATTTTCACAAGGCTGTGGGATGACACCTCTCCCATGTACCTGCTCTCTTCACCATGATCAGAGGGTTACTGTGGGTGTTGAAGGAGGCTGAAGTCCTTACTTAATCACTGATGTAAAAGTTGCTATGTTCTGTTCTGCCAGCTGAAGGTGAGGTTCCATTTCCGCTGAGAAAACCATGGCAAAAGTGACAAACCTTTAATGTTCATGATGACCTACATCCTTGGATATTGCTTTGATGTGACCATTCCTCTCTTCTAGGGGAAACAGTGAGGGGTGACATTTTCTGAGGGTAAAAACAGCAGCCTAGAAATCTTGTGGAAAAAAATCTCTCACCATGGATCTGAACATTTTATAACACTGTTTTTACACCATTTACCTCATTTTGTTAAATTACATACTCCATTCATCAGAGAGAAGTTGTCTTGGTCCTCTCTAATTAGCTCATTTTGGTGAGTATCCAAAAGCTGTGTTTTATGAACCAGTGCTGCATGAGACTTACAAGTATCTAATGGAATTGGATCAAAATGGGGTAATGCACTCACTATGTGTGTCATGATAAGATGAGAATTGGAAATTGGAACTGCAGTTGCCTTAGCATTTTCTAATTCCTTAATCTTTTCCAATCTTGCATTCAAGACTGTGCTTTCATCCCCATTTATAAAAATAAAGCTTAAGTTTATGGAAGCATAATTGCCTGTGAAATTCACATGATACAAGATTTTGTATATTGCTTTTGTTCATAAGGTCTTCCTACTTCATTCATGCTCTTTGCAGAACTGTCTTCTAGGAGATAGAGGGTTTTAGTCCCATTTCTCCAGTGCCCTGAGACATTTTCCCTGGCAGACCCAGTTAACCCAGTTTTCTGCTCATATTTGGGGTAAATGCAGTCCCTTCATCTAAATTCCTACGATTCTTCCAAATGGATGAGATGCTCCTCCTTCTGAAATGTGGCACTGTTGTGGTCCTCCTTTCTCTTCCAAAAAGAGGATGAAGCCCTGTCCTCACTTCAAGTCAACGGTGAAAGTCCCAGGGATTTGAGTAAGGCCCAGATCTCATGCAAACTATTTAACAATATCAATATTGAATGAAGCAATTTTTCTACAGGCAGTTCTATCTTGAACCTCTCAACCAGCACCGTGTCCCAATTTGTGTATAGTTCCCATTAATTTACATTATTTTTGTTTAATTTAGTATTCCAGTTGTTTAAGGTATTTTCAGTTCTCTGGAAATGAGAACTATAAATATTCTATCACAATTAATCAGTTCTCAAGCTTCATATGTGACATGATCTTTCATTTCCGAGCTGGCTCAGGCACAGGATGTGTAAGGGAGGGTAATTCAGTCCTCATTTAGTATTCACAAGTGTGCCCTTATTGCTGTGGCATGCTTAGGAACACTCAAAATACTGAAGGCACAGGATCCCTTGGTAGGATTCAAGCTGAGGAATAAAAATATCCACATTCTGTAAATGGGTCTAACTTCTTTAGATGAGCAATTTCTCCTATTCCCACAGGTCTCCTAAAGATATAATTTTTTGATTCCTAGATACAGGGTGAATATTCTTTTCAGAAAGCTGATCTAACAATCAGGACGATGTACCCAGCATTCTGAAAAGCAAAGAGCTCACTGGGCTCTTCCTCTCTCTGTGTTTCTGTTCTCTCCTTTTGTTTGGTTTTCACTATTGTTGTCTTCTGCCACTCATTTTATTTTAGATGTAATTTTATTGCAGAATAAACCTGCTGTTCGGTCTTTTTAAACTATTATACTTCAAGGTAGTTTTCTCTCTATTTCCCATGGCAGATAGTATTAAATAAAATATTCAGTACTGTGATTTTCTCTTTTTTCCAAGTAGACTGATGAAATCTGCATTTTTTTAATCCAGCAGGACTGTGCCATTTCCCTTTTTTCCCCCTTTGACAAATAACCAACCATTTTCTATCTTTAAATGTTATCCAGGAGTTGAACCAAAATAAGCTTGGGGGAATTCTTGATTTTTACATTTGAAACAGAGAGTTTCTTTAATCTCCTGACAAATGGAGAACTAATGTAATTATAATATCACTGGATATAAAATGTTAAAGGTGAGAAACTGAGAAAAGAAAGGATTTTAAATAATTTTGTTGAAACCTCTCTGATTTGCAGTATTTGTTTTTAAAACCTACCTAATCTGATACAGAATAAATAATTAGGACAAAATATCTATTTGCTTAAAATAATAAATGCTCTTGTCCTTTCGATTAAAATGTCAGAGCTCACAATAAACATGAGACCTTCAACAAGTGCTCCAGCAAGTCATCTGATTTCTAAGAAAAAAGTTTTCCTCTCCAGTCTCCTTCAGAAATAAACCAAAATAATAGGATTACTGTGTCTTAAAAAGCAAAAAATAAAAGGGAGAAAGTAATTTAAAAGCTATTTGTCAATCTACTTTAAAATGGGTTGTATGTTCTCTTATTATTCTGTGCAGTTTATTCTTATGTTTACTTGGTGCCAGGAAGCACCTGCCTAACTGGAGTCATAGAAGTTCATGCCCAGTCTCTACTTCACTCTTTTAAGATTATCCCGTGAAATATTCAAGTGCCAAATCCAAGCAGATGTTTATGTAAATGCAAAGAGCTGTGGTACACGTTGCCTTCTCAATAAAGACAAATGCAGCCAACCAAAAATAATTTCAAATGAGATCTTAGAGAGAGAAGACCTGGACACATAAAGAAAGCCAGCAAAACCAGAACAATGCCTGCAGTCAGCACAGGACTCCAGCCTGGATGTGAGCGCCCAGCAAGGTGTTGAAGGCTACAAAACTCTAAGAGGCTGCTGCAGTATAAGGTGCTGACCACTGGCAGAGAGCGTCTGTCAGCATTAATTCACAATAGGACAGATCCTCTAGGCTCCTTTGTACTTTGGTCTGCTAGAAATCCAGCCTGGGACACATCCAGGAGTGCACACTGAACATTTGTAGAGGAGGTGCCACACTAGGAGCAAACCTTGTTCCCTTATCAGATCTTTTCCTTTGTTCTTTCTAGGTAAAACAGATAATCCCAATTCTCCTTCTTAACGTTTTCATTGATGTAGACACTTTGATTATGTCCACTCCACTGTAAAGGAAATAAGTTTGGTCATCTGGCAGCTTTTTTCTGTATGTAGTGGGCCTTGCTGCTGTGCTCTGGAATCATGCTGGTTTGAACTGGTTTGGCAGGGGACAGACTGGGCTCCGCGGGTGCTGAGTGCTGCGTGTGAGTGTCCTCACAGCTTGTATTTGAGTCTATTTACTTGTTCGTATGCACAACAATGCTGCCTTTTTGAGCACACATGCATGAGTGAAGATCTTCATAAAGCTGCTCAAAGGCATGTGCAGGTCTCCCAGATGAGATAGATCCTGACTTGCTCCTCAAAACTGTACCAAATATGTTCAATTTTTCCCTTCCAATATGCAGGGCTTTGCATTTCATATGGCACTTTAGAAGTTATCAGCTTTTTCACTCAAAATTTATTTTGGGGGCTTTCTTTTTAAATTCCCAGAGAAGAAAAAAAGATTCTATTTCATCTGCAAATACACATTTTGACTCTGGTTTCCTTCCAGGCTTATATCATAAAATTCCTTTTATTTGCATTTTATAAAATGGGAGTTAGAGCAATCAGGCACCAATTATGCAAACGGGGTAGATTAGTTTTCTTTTAAACTAATTCAGATCAAAATTGTTGGTCCTGGCAGGCCAAATTATACAAGAGAAAGGAGAAGGA